ATATTTTATTGTAATTCATATTCAAAAAAGGAACTCAAACCCAAGTAACCCGCACAATAGATAAAATGAAATACAATTTGGCCATTCCAAATCGACCAGAGCAGAAGCTCGACCATCCCGGGATTTTCGCGAAAATCGGCATACACGTGAAAGAATCCATTTAAAGAAGCCAATTTTTATTTTTATTTTTACCTATTGCGCAGACTTCCGGATGCATGCGATTGAACGAACCACATTTTCCCGTCCCTGGATACGGACTGGAAACCGAGAAACCGTTTCTGCAAGAATTTCTACTCTGGTGAAAATGCAAGCTTCATTCTGGCGTCATTTCAATTACGGATTTGCCACCTTTTAATTGCTTTTAAGCAGCTGCAATCTCCGAAGCTGAAGCTGAAGCTTCGGAGTTGTCGAAGTTGCACTTGATCAATCGATTCGTCGAAATTTCGCGAATGTTATTCCCGGGTGCAGCTAACGGTGCACCGTCGGTGCAGTTGAATGGCCATAACAATTAATCAATTAAGCAATTAAGCAATAACGAAGCTATCAAGTGCCAACCTTGAATTTCGTATCGTTAGAAAGAGAATAACAAGTACTTTCCATTGAAGTATTCGTCCCGGGATTCGTGGCGGGGCACGCTCAGATTTCGGTTTTGTTGTCCTTAAAAATGGCATGCCAAGCACTTTTCAATGCGATATTGGAATTTAAATATTCTCAGGACAATTTTGTTCCTCCGCCGTGTGTAGTCTGGTAGATTTGGTAATTTTCTAAGACGCTACGCGCTTCATTTAAACGTCTGAAGAAAATCCGGGTTCACGGGAAATTCAATTCCGGCGTGTTGGGCTTTAAATGACGTCGAGGACTTCACCAGCCATTTCTGACTTTAATTCCAAATCAGCAGATGATTATGGGCCTGTGGAAAGGAAAATTCCATGCTGTTCAAATAAGGCAACATTCGCGCTTTTCTGCTTACATGCTCTGTTCGAATATGGAAACTTTCGGCGTGTAAAGGATAAAATTTGCGTGGAATAGCCCAAAAATCGTTTGAATTTGACTAAAAGTTCTGAAAGCAAAATTCAAAACGTTCCTTTCACTATGAGATAATATCGCTGATGTTTAATTTCTGCGCATGTTTTCGCCATTCTGGCCCCCTGTAGTAGTGCCACGAGACACATTATCTGAGCCATACATCATTGGTTATGGGTGTGCGGCGAATCTGCGAAAATGAGAACAAGGATAAACGCCTTATGTCGACAAGTTTATATTTATTTATTTAAGAGTTGATCATGCCTTACACTTCTTCCAGGAGCTGACAGTAGCATGAATTCGTCATTTCGGACGGAATTCGGGAAAATGAAGAGGAATCGTCCGCACAAAATGTTTAACTTTCTGGATGACGTGTTTGATTAATATTTTGCAATTTCAGAAGGATGGAGGCACGTTGAATCGTTTTTAAGTTCGGTGCTGGCTCATCAGACTCATCAGACTCATCAGACGATCAGAGACGCTGGGTTCATATATACACTGTTGGCAAAAATGGTTCAGCTTTTATTCCCTAGAGGGTGTTTCAACTGCAACTTATATTTATCCTTAGTGGGTTACATATTTAGCCTTTTCGATAGGTTAAATTGAAAACCCTTCTAAAAAGGTAAAATATTGAACCGACCTGGATTAACGTGTAACTTTGCTAGTATTAAGGTAATCATGAGGATGAGAGGCTTCCCTTCGGCCCCATTGAGTGTCCTATAGACGTCACTCCCCATTTTAACCATCTGGTCGTCAGGACGGATAAATTTGGGACTCATTACTGAGCACTTATCTACTCTTTTGGATTGAGATGTTGGGGGTTAAAGAAAGGGAAAGCCAATGAAAATTGGTTTTCACATTACTTCATTCATTCCTTTTCTTGATGGTCTACTTGGAAACATTTCCGAGATAGTTGATAATTGGACTCGTACGCAGGGACCCTATTTTCATTCGTCGAAGATACCGTTCCAGGGTTTCATGAAAGTGAGAAACTGGCTCATCTTCAGGGTGGGTCATGAGTCTCATGTCGTTTATAGCATATGCGCGTATCACACAGTCCAACAACCTGATACGTATGGCCCACCTTGTACGAGAATTACTTTCCTTCGGGCTTCGGACTTTTAAAAATGACGATCTCTTAAAAATGAACTTTTTCCTCTGGAGCTGGAAAAATGATTTATTTTTCATCGAAAGACATTTTCCCATTCGGTGTTTCATTTATGTAATCTCAGAAGGGATAAATATGTATACCTGTTCTCATGGATTCTCATTTATCCAAGCACAAGATTCATGAAACTCTCCTAGTTAAATGTTTAACCCTCTCAATCGAAAGTGATGCAAAGAATTAATCGCATTTAAGATAAGCATCTAGTTGACCCTTTTAAATGGCGATTCATAGTCATGCAACCGTTTCTCACGGTTTATCCTTCGCCTGAACCCTTTTTCCTAAAAGTGTATTTGACAATGATTTCAAAGTCGGATTTTTTCCTCCAAAGAAACATGATTTATTTCTGTCTAACAATTAGGCCCAGAAAGGAATTAAGGCACAGAAGGAAATTAAAAATGGTCACGGAAGATGTAATGTACCGTTATTTAGGCTTCGCCTAAGTTTTCTCTGTATTTTCACAATGCTCCTCAATTAGCACGTAGGTGGTGGGCCACCACCTACGTTTGGAGAAAAACACTGGTGGTCCACCAATTTCACTAGGTTGTGGGGCACCAGGTACATGTCCCAATTGCCAGCACTGGCCCGCCACCTTCCGGGACGGTAGAGGGCCAGCACCTTAGCACTTTGCACGATTGTGGTGTACCACCAGCTAAGGGTCCTATTGCCTCCAGGTATATCCAATTCATCTCAAAACCTTGTCTCTGGAGCACTATTCAGAAGAATACTTAAGATAAACTATTGCTTTCCTCTCCCATGTCCAATATGAAACCCAAAGGGTGAGTAGAAGTTTATGAGTACGAGGATACATCCTATAAGTGATTTGATGTTATTAAGTTTAGTCTCTCTGCCCTCCCCTAGTCCCGTACACTTCTGAGTTCCCATACTTAACTTCAGCATTTAATAATTCCCTGAGTCTTGCTATTGAAACATAATTCCACGCTTTCCTAGTATCTGTTTATAAATTGCACATTAAACGGAGGGAAAAGGAGGAAGAAACACTTTTGCTAAATCAGGAAGGCAGGTAATTCATAGCATTTATAGGGAACAGGGGTACCATCTAATAGAGATTCCTGGCACTGCATCTGAGAGAGTGTCAGCTACATTATGGGAAGAGAACTGGTGGCCCTCTACCTTCAATAGGTAGCAGGCCAGCAACTTCATGTCCCACGTGCCTGGGCCGCTTATGGCCCACTACTTTTGCGCTACTTGGATTCTTTAGTGAAACGTTTATAGTACCATTTCCGTGGAACGAAACAAGCGCGAGCCGGAACTGTTTGATTCCAGGAACTACCACTACCTCAGGAATTCCTGGAACCACATGGATCCCTCTTTCACGAGGTAGATAATGTACCCTACCGTGTGGGACATTCCCACGATCACTTGGACGAGTGACTTGAGCAAAGGTAATGGAACTGGTTTGGTAAAAACACGTTGGTTCGCATCGAAACAACTTCAAGAGCTACCGGGTGGTTCGTATGAATAATATATATATACTGTACATGGTAGGGCAAGAAAAACCAATGACCTTTGAACTTAATGGGTGACATGCGTCAGATCCGTTTAAACTTTTAACTGATTTTTTTTTCACAATGGGCGTCTATGGGAATAAGTTTATCTCTGTTAAACTGATTTCCATAGTGGACCATTGTGAGATAAGATTAGTTTAGCTTAAACGGATCCTGTGCATGTCACCCAATATCTCCACTCACAGTGGAGCCATTTCCGGGAAACATCTACAAGGCAAATATGAGTATGGGTGACATACACCAAGTCGGTTTAGGAGCTAAGCTGATCAAAATGTTTGCCTCTCGTCTTCCAGCCGGCGGTGGAAATGGACACTAATGAAGAGATGGAAGTTTTTCACGTGATCCTGAACCAAATTGCCAGGAGGACTGTCAGAGATATGTCAAGGATGTCATGGATGGATGTCAAGGAGCAACTGCTGGAGATGATTCGGACAGTGGACAGGACGCCTTGCAGCTGGATGAATCGATTGACGTCGTCAATTTGTCTCAACTTCTGGTGTATGAGCGCTTTCCCTTTTGTGGCAAGTTCGGGGAAGATATCCTCTTTTGTAAGGAAGCACTCATTCGCACCACTGGCGAAGCCATATTTTTCTAAATGCTGGATGGTTTCATAATGGCCGAATATCTTTAATGGAGAAACTGCGTGTCCATTTGCACAGACGGTGCAGCCCCTATGATAGGAAGGAGATGCGGCTTTATCGTGCGTGCCAAGCAAGTGAACCCTGTGATAGTCACGTATCACTGCATTCTTCACAGAGAAACACTTGCCCGGAAAAAAAGATGAATTTAGAAATGCATGAAGTCCTGGACATTGCCATCAAGGAGGTAAATTTAATGAAGGCCCGACCGTTGAACACTCGATGCTTTGCAGAACTTTGTAAAGGAATGGATGCGGAACATGAAACGCTCTTGCTTCATAGTGAAGTACGACGTCTTTCCTTAGGCAAAATGTTGCAACGAGTGTGGGAACTGAGAAGCAAGCTCTTGGAGTTCTTGTTAGACAGAAATTTTGAATTTGCATATCTCTTTTCCCATGACATATTGCTGGCAAAGTTGGCTTACCTGGTCGACATTTTTAACTTTGTGAACATTCTGAACCTGGAAAGGAGGTGACTCACACATATTCCTTCTAAATGACTAAGTTTATGCATTTCAGAAGAAACTCGAGGCATGGAGGAGAAGAATCTGTGATGGGACTGTTGATGTGTTCCTCTCCCGAATCAGTTTCTGGACGATAGCGAAGTGACTCTCAAAGAAGTGGAAGGCGTCATATCTGACTGCGGTCAGACGAGAAGGTCAGCAGTTACCTTTCGGAACTTCAGAGTGGCGTTGATGGCCACGATTGGATCCGAAACCCGTTCGAAGTCGATCCAGAAGCGCAGGCTGTCCTGTCTAGTGCAGGGAAAGACCAGCTGATGACTTATCGCCGTTTAAAACAGAAGTATTCCTCTCGGTCGCTTTCTTCGTTCTGGCTGGAACTCGACGAAGAGCATCCCCTGCTCGGAAAGAAGGCAACATGGGCGCTGCTTCTCTTCGCTGCCACATATATGTGTGAGACAGGATTCTCTGCTCTTCGATAACAAAAAAAGTTTCGTTCGCGACTGCAAGTGCAGAGCGACTCGCCTTGGGAAATATTTCTCCCAGAATAGAAAACCTCCAGCAAAATGCACCAAACGCATAAGTCATACTAGCTCGGAAGAAAGCAAGGACTGCAAAAAATTTTAAATGAGTTTTCATCATGTCATAATTATTATTAAAATACTTCGTTCTGGATTGCAGTGGGTCGCGAACGTTTTTGGGCATCTGCAAGTGGCTTGCGATTCAAAGAAGTCTAGGAACTGCTGGTCTAGATGACCTGGAGGGACAGGAAATAAATTTCAGAAAACGAGAGATCAAAGAATGTGACGTAATGAGCAAATGCGATAGAGAAAGTCGACGAGTGACGCCATGTCCTTGGCGTGCAATGGTCCCACAACAGCGCCAGCCCCCCCCCCCTTCAACGAGTTGGAAATATCTTCGGGGAACATGCAAAATCTGTTTTGGGCAATAGGAACTAAAAGCACCAACTAAGGTTTAGAGGTGTGTGAGGTTTCCTTCAAATACAAAAGGTATCCAAACGAGACCGGATTTCTTTGGAATGAGACAAGATGCAGAGCCAAGTTGACTTTTCCCATGATATAAACTGCGCTCACTGGGTTTCATTCATTAGATTCAATGACCAAAAGTTAAATATCTGAAGGGCTATGCACACTGCGGAACAAAATCGAAACATTAATGGAGTTGGAATAATCAGTTTCTAAGGCTGCAGTAAAATACTAATTGGTCATGTTCTTCGCTGCGGAATGCGTCTGAGAAGAGGCAAAGAAAATCCAACAGCATTAAAATTAACCGCTTCTTTTGCAAAGTTTCTAGTAAGCGTGTTCTATGCTCTAAAATAGAGTGGTCCTTCTAAGTTGATCGTGTTAAATAACTCTGGCATATTCAGCAAGATCGAGATACATAGCTTTCAAAACACGTAAGAACCTATGAGGGAATGTATTAGATGAGACCGGAAACTCCCCGGGGTCTTTCAAATGTGTGGTCAGACATGGGAAATAAAGCCATTTGTATCAAGAAATTCTTTATTTGAGCTTATTTTGTGAGTTTTTCTTAGGCATCCCCACGTCAAGACTAGCAAAGGCTGAGGGCGGTACGTGCACACAATAGCTTGCTGTATTCCGTAGCTGTACAACTGGGTTCGGTTCCCTCAGAGCCGCACATACCCATGGCTACTGTACCGGCCGGACATCTGAAAGAAAAAAGCGCAGATGCAGGGTCTCAATAGCAGGATGTCATTTTTATTAAATATAAACTATCATTTTGGGTGGAAGTCGCACATGGTTTAAAAATACCTAGAAAGCCCATGGTCTTATTTCTTTATTTTTGTTGTAGATTTGAATGATCGATAATGCTTGATATGGCCAATGGTTCACTGTTTACATCACTTTATCAAGGTATCACGGTAGGTAAGTGGTATCAGGAGGCTATAATACCCATTTGGATTCCACGTGTCGAGGTCGAGCGTTCCTTAACAAGTTGACCGCCACGGCAATGCTGGCCTATTGATTTTCCCATTCAGTGAGGCGCACCGGTTACTTTTAGGGTTGGCCTACTCCTCTTAAAGCTAAACATATTTGGATTTTTATTTTTTTTAGCATATCCTAGCCACTTACTGCCCTTTCGTATATTTGCTTTGTCCATGAAATCATATAGTTTCTTCTTAAAAATAGTCACGGCACGGGGCAGCCACTACGCTGTCATCTAACGCATTCCACGCATTCACCACTCCACAAGTAAAGAAGTCCAGTCTCGACCTGAGCCGCACCTGCGGTTTCCGCAACTTGAGTCGATTACCTCTCGTTCTCTTGCTGCCATCGAACTGGCAGAATCGACTACTCTATAAGTTTTCAACTCCGATTCATAAAACTCCAGTCTAAATGCATCAGCCACCGCCCCCCCTCGCTACGCCACTGACCTCTACTTCACCCCCTCCCCCCCCTTTCTCTAAGGGACTTATTAACTGAGTCTATGCCTAACCGAGGTCTGACTTCAGGTCAGGCATAGGCCTACTCTTTTTGACTCAAAAGAAACTCAATCCTCGAATTACGTGACCAATTAGGCTTATTGGGATCAATCCAAGATATTTGTTACATCCCATCGAGGACAGGTAACGTTAGGCCGATCACAGGTCTACTCAGATTTTCACAAACCATTTCAGAGAGGACGTGTAACATTAGACCGATTTGATTCCTGTTTCGAGTTCCATGAACCATTTAAGTGCGGACGTGGAAAGTTAGGCCTATCTGAACCGTCTCAACTATGTCTGAGGAGAGAGTGCCTCCATGAAATCAATGGTGATAAAGGCTACCGCTCCTATTGATGCATGGCGCACAATGTTCATTCAGGGATGTCAATAATAAGATATCTCCATATTTCACCACATCGATCGGCCATTGCTAACCGCCGTTTCATTCTCAGCTCATCTCATGAAGTCAACACAAAAATGTTCCATACATATTTTTTTTTAAATCTGGAAATCCAAACACCGATACATAGGCCGAAACAGTCATGATTCTGACATAACTCCGGCAAGGTATCAGACAACACTGGGGGACGGGACCGAAGCCCACACTCTAAGCCTAAATGAACGACAGCTACTTTCTTTTTCTTGGCGAAATTGTGTATCGCAAACAAGAAAAAATACATTTTTCGTCTTCAACAAGTCAATATCTTCCTTATCGTTGGTCTCTTTCCTCCGAAATCCCCCTTCCTCCGCCAGGAGCGGCTACCCAGGTAGCAGAGAAAATAAATTGGTCTGAATGAAATTCACACATTCCAAAGGGGAATTTAGTGTTCACCATAACCCCGGTGAGATAACGCCTCAAATTTGCTGGAGAGATTCTGTGTTGAGAGAGAAAGAAACACGCCCAATTTCGTTCTTGTTGATGCTCTCGGGGAGGAATAGGAGGAGTTTGAATTTTGCTGCCGGAAGGGATTCAAGAAAGATAAGAGATGATACCGCGCTTATTAGAAGTGTATCTCAGAACGCTGTGAGATACGACATAAGCTGTATCTTCCTATCTTCAAACAGGGCAAAGATTCTCACCCGGCGTTGTGTGCGTCTATATTATCAGCAGCAGCATGATCCCACGGGACGAGTAAGGTGTCGCTCAGCGTAAAGCCGCAACAGTTGATGGAGTGGCTGTGTCCTCCACAGGTCTCACCAAAGAAAGAGCTGCATGCTCCCCGAAGGAATAGGGGTTCTGGACAGGTGACCATCTCCCCGGGATCCCCAGATATCGAATTGCACTCGCCAGATGACAAGGGATGTCCAGCCACGTGACAGCATTGGATTTCGGTAGCATCCCCGCCGCAGGCACTCGTGTCACCTGCCGCTCCGCAGACGTGGAACACCATCTTTCAAGGAAATTAAAATACCATATATAAGGTGGGTTTTCGTCCGATGGCAGTTTGGAACTTTCATAGCCAGATAACGCAGCAAAGTCGACAAATTTCCAAATCATGAGTAAATTCTTTTTTCCCCCAGCAACCGCCCTAGAGACTATCCAAACACATCACTGCAAGCAGTAGACTTCCTCATCATTCAATTTAAATTGAGGAACGGATACGGTGTGAGAAGACGAGTAAAGGGTGAACAACATTAGGCCTGTTTGGTATTCTATCTGAAAGTAGCCTCACTTTGCATGGCAAGGCGAGAGAGAAAATGGAATAAACAGAACCTCATCATCGTCGCAATCCACGGTTACCCCAGATCCTGCTCCAATAGTTCGGCAATTGATGGGTGTGAAGCTCTGGCATCGATGGAGAGAAAGCAGGACGATTGCGATCCCGGTCACGATTCTGCAAACGTTGAGCTGAAGAGGGTGGGTATATTGAAATGACAAAGATGGCATTATTCGTTGCATTTCGGAAACTGGAAATTGATATATCTGATAGCTGGATATGGGGAAATGTATTCTGTATGGTACTGTGGAATAGTACTTTATCATTACGGGAAGCCAGAGAAATACAATGTAGTCCCTTAGTTGTCACTTAACGTACAATATCTGCAAAATCCTAATCTGCAAAATGCCTGCAAATTATCTTCGATTATGTAACTGGCGGCCTGAATCACATATTTTATTAGCTAACTCTTTTCAGCCTGTTTCCATCTCACATGTGGATCCAGTGAAAGTAAACTACCGAAAGGGATCTAAGAGAAAGTGTTAAGCCTCTCTACAGCTACACTTACTACATGCAAAATCCGAAAATAATCTAAAATGTTCATGCACTCACTTTTGCCATGATTTCTGTAGAAGACACTGCGTCATATGTATGTGCTACGAAGAGTAATCTGAGGGTTCATATGCGGCTGCAACTACTTTTATAAGAGCCACGGCACGTGTTAATCGCAATGAATGCGAAGAGATCCCTGGATGTCGGCGAGACCTCGGACACCTGGAAGACTTCCGTGGAATTCCCTAGCTTTTTCATGGAAAATTCGAGTCACACATGAGAAAGGAAAGAAATTAGAATGTTTTTAAAATAGACGCTGACGTGCGTGGATTTCTGAACGATAAGCTCTCCACGCGGTATCCAAGATTCCGCTGTGCAGCGTGCGTATACAGTACATACGTTTCCCTACTTTACGGCACGTTTAAAAATCGGAGGCAGAAACATCCGAATTGCAGCCACGCCTATCTTTTTCAGAATAAAATTGAGCTAGAGCTCAACTAAATTGGAGGCACTGTTCTATTTGTGATAAGTGAAATGCAAGAGGCTAGTCTGGCTGTCTCACCTCATCCTACGCACAAATATGTATGATAAAATAAACTGGTGATCTAGACACTGAAACGAAAGCAAAAGCAGACATGAATTCCACATAACTCCAGCATGATATCCGGCAACCCTGGGATACGGAGCTGGAGCTCACACGCTAATCCCACACCGTTATCGGATTGAATTTGTACTTTCCCCCTATATCGAAAAACGGAGTAAACACAACTTCCAAAAATTAGCACTTCGACCCATGACCGACGTAACGACTCACGTGGAAGATATCACTTTCTGCAATCGATGGGAATGCTCCTTTGGAGGGTGGGGAATACGAATTAAATTCGAGAACAGTGTAAATGAACGACTGGAAATTTAATTTTTTATTGCGACATGGTACATCACAAACCAGAAAAGGGTATTTTGCCTGATCTACAAGTTAATGTTTTTCTTTTAGTTAGGATACTTTCTCCGAAAACCATCGAGGAGGAGCTACCCCGGGGGAGGAGGAAAAAATAATAACGTAATGAAATTTATTATTTCAAAAAGCGAGATTCAGTGTTCTCTGCAACCCCGAGGAATTGGAGATTCAAATTTGTTTTGAGGGGTTTGAGTTTAGAGGGTAAGATGTATGCCTAAGTGCATTCCTCCGGATGCTCTCAGAGGGAAATACGAGGTGGTTTAATTTTGAAAATGGAAGGAATTGCTGAGAGGATATTGATTTGGCAATGTAGTAATGTGAAAACTAATTTTCAAAGGTTTTTCCTTTCTTCAACCCCAACCATAGAGTAGAGAGTGTAGCTAGAGGCTTCCACTCCGCTCGAATCCCATTCATTGACAGGGTCGCAATAAAGATGTCGCTGTCGATCCTCCACCTAGCGGGCGCACATCAACAATTCTTCCATGGCCGAGTAGCGGACTCGACGAGACACGCGTGTTACGTTGAGGGATCCCTTCCGGTCGAATCCCCGGATGAGTCGTTTTTTCCCGATTCCGCTGCCACGAAACACGCCGCATGGAAGTGCTGTTGATAACAAGCCACCAGATGTCACTGTAATATTTTGGCCCTCCCCTACCACTCGGAGTGTCGCCTCTATTTACACTCTCTACTCTATGCCCCCAACCTCACCCCCCACCCCTTTCTCTACGGAACTCCCTAGCGTTAGGCTTAGGCCTAACCGACGGACTGTCTTCGGGGACAGGCTTCAGCCTACCTCTTTTCGTTCAAAAGATACTCAATCCTCGGCTTCCAGACCGTAATTAATATGGATTAATAAGGATTAATCCCTAGTCTTTGAGACACCTCGTTGAGGACGTGTAAATTTAGGCCAATCGCAGACACCCATTCAGTCTCTCATGGCCCAGAGAACGTGTAACGTCAGACCGATTGAAGGTCGTTTTCGAGTTTCATGAACCACTTCAGTCCTGTCAGGGCCTATCCAGAGTTCCTCGAACCGTTTCGACTCGTTCCGAGAAGAAAATGACTTTGGAAAGCATGACATGCAAGCTGGCCGCCATCATGTCAATTTAGGCCGTCATCATGTCAGAATGAGATATCTCTGTATTCCACCAAATCGATCGGCCACTGCAAACCACCGCTTTAATCTCAGCTCATCCCATGAATTCAGCACAATAATGTCTCCTACATCAAAAAAAGAAGATCCAAACAAAGATAAAGTCATGAATCTAACATAACTCCGACATGATATCCGGCAACACTGGGGGGACGGGATTGGAGCTAGCGCTCTAAGCCCAAATGAACGACAGATAATCTCATTTTCTTAATGGCGAAATGGTGCATCGCAAGCAACAAGAAGGGCACTTTCGTCATTTACAAGTCAATATCTTTCTTATGGTTGACCTCTTGCCTCCGAAAGCATCCCAGGAGTGGCTACTCGGGGGGGGGGGGGGGGGGAAAAAAAGGGAATGAAATTCACGTCTTTCACAAATGAGATTCAGTGATCTCCACAACACCGGGGAGATGGAGCTTCAAATTTGCTGGAGCGATTCTGTATTGTGAGAGAAAAATCTGTCACTTTCCCCCCCACATTGATCTGACCCTTCTCCCCTCTCCCTTTTTCCTTTTTTTTTCATTCCAACTTGTCCGCAGTTTCCATAGGAACCGGACAACTCAACTCGGTGCTCGTGTGCAGCCTTCCGCTTGGGTCGGGGGCATCTACGACTAAAACTTCCACATCCCTTCCAGTCCTCGCGGATGACGGGTTCATAGAAGACAATCGGGGAGAGCAGCTGCTCGAGGCACCGTCTACAAGGTTGTCTGGCGAATGTTATGCATTATTAGTACGATAAAGAGAGATATGGGACCTCATCTGGTAAGCAATCCTCCGTCACCCCATTTGCTCCTCCCTTGTAATATATCATTTTCAGGTGATTCTCAGGCATACCAACTCTTCAGGCAACCCGCATGCCCGAAGGAGCACGCAGGGGCGAATGAAGGAATGGAGAACAGGACGAGGAGGGGCGAGTGTAAACCGTTGTGTCTCGTTTAACCTTCCTACAGTCTAGACAGAGAAACCAAGAGAGACCACGAGGCCAAATCATACCCCGAGGATAAGTAAAAATCCAGACGGCAGGAGTGCGAAAAGCGAAATGCCTTCATTCACGAATGGGATTTCTTGCCAACGCCGTATCGACATGAATGCCCGTATTCATGAGGCACCCGTGTTCACGTTGCAAATGGACTCATTTGATGAACAGATTTTTTCATTTGGCATCGATATCTCGTGAGAGTCTTCCCTGTTGCAGTTGTCAACTGGGATAGCAACTGGGGCCTGCAACGCACCGATCCGTTTCTTCACTTCTGCTTCGAAGGGCGAGAACATGACGTCGATGGGATTTAACCAAGGACTGTAGGGAGGGGGGGGGGGGTAGGAAATGAATGGAGGGGGTTGGGTTTCGGGAATGATTCTTTTGTGCACTTGAGCATTGTCCAACATGAAAAAGAATGCATTGTCCGGTCCGATGATGGCACTGAGTTCATCTAAAAAGTCAGCAAACGCAACACGTGCGAGATCTGACTCCATTGTCTGGTGGTGCAAAAGTACACTAGATGGGACTACCCTTAACCTGACGAGCCGACGAACCGAAATTTCCTTTCCATCTCGAATTAATGAGCAAGTTCCTCTTTACATCTCTCTCTCGCGGTTGCGCTTTCGCGAATGCATCACGAGTGGAATCGAAACTGGCTTGTGCTTGCTTACAGACGCCAGACACGAGAGGAAACGGAAGCTCCTAGACGGGCTAGTAAGTCGACATTCGGAGCCGTTCTGCTGTCCCTCGGCTAATCGGCTGGCCCGTGCAATAGCCCTAATTCCATCATCCCAGGCATAACGAATCCTTAGTGCGGGTTAGCGTCATTGCAGGAAGGCCTGAGAATCATCTGAAAAGGTATAGCAGTTGTACGGCGTGAGGCCATGTGATTGAGTGACGGCAAGCAGGGCGATCACGATCCCCGTCGCGATCCCGTGAACAAGCATCTGATGAAGGGGGAGGAAAAGGGCAAACACTGCATATAGGTGATACCGCATAGAGGCGTTGACCTACAGCCTTCCACCCTTTCCTCCTTTTATAACTATGTTTTTCGCTCACGTGAATAGCCACACGTTAAAAGAAGCGCTGTCGAA